GGCCTGACTGTCTATCGAACTGCAAAGAGTGGAGTTAAAGTTAAACTCTGCGGACCCGGATAAGAGAGGATGACTCAAATCTCAAGAGACCCCTCGGGGCGAGACATGAGTAGCTCGTCCTGGACAGGGCAGCTTCTCGAAGCAGACACCCAGCCAGGACAACAGGGAGCACGTCACAAAGCATTATGCTCAATCTGAATGGAGGGCCCGCGGGTTCTGAGGTTGCAGCATTATACTGGGGACCTGATGGCTAAGGAGGCTCTCGCAGAAGCCCAGTGACTTAGTTGCGTGGTCCAGTAAGCATGAAGCCAAAGATGTAGGGCTATCATCCAGCCTGGATCCAGTACCGACGGGTGAGACCATCACCACCACCAGTCAACAGCGATAGGTCCTGACTTCAGCTTGGGAGGTGCTTGCGGAGGTCCTAACCCTAAAACAAAGTCAGAAAAGCCGGGACAGGTCCAAGTAGCGCTGCGGAGAAAGCACGGAGAGCGAGATCTGTGGTGCGACACAGCTCAGCCACCTCATCAGGGGATAGACCCTGACCTTTATCGGTGTCTTTCAACAGGTCAGCCTGATAAACCTGAAGCACCGTCATAGTGTGTAACAAAGCTGCAGCCTGACCTGCTGCTGCGTACACCCTGCCATTCAAACAAGATGTATCTTGGAGGGGTTTGGATGGCAGGGAGGGAGCCTTAAGAGAAGATGTCTCGCCCATAGAGAGATAGCAGGCCAGCGTCTCTTCAATAGGAGGCATCTTCTCTTAGCCGTTTTCACGCATCCCCTCAATATTGGCATAACTAGCATGCAGGAACCTGCACAGGGATTAAAGAGAAAATATTTCTTCTAACTGATTTTTTTTCAGGTCAAGTCACATTCCTTTAACCAACGCTTTATTTAAATAGTCGAGACCAATAGCGTTTTAAGGGGAGAATTTTTAAACCGCTTTAATATTGCCAGTTTGCGTATTTTAAAAGCTATTTAATCTATTTGTCAAGGTATGTATAATTTTTTCATAATCAACCATCTACATAACTTTTCAGTGCATGTTTTTATTTATCTTATAAGACCAACAATTTTTTCTGTTAATTATTAAGAGTTTAACAAAACAGGGAAAATAAAGTAACAGCACCACCATTAAAGACCAAAAAGTGTATTCTTGTGCAAAAGTCTCTAGAGTGCTTTTTACTTATCTGCCTTTTGGCTGTGAATCCATATTCCTAAAGCTTGGCTACACCTGACACCCGTTTCAGTGTTTGACTAGCTACATGTGCAGAAGTGGTTCCAGGAGAGGTGGAGGGGGTGGAGGCTGCAGCAGCAGCTTTGCATTTAACTCCAGGGGTGGAGGCTGTAGCAGCAACAGTGCCTTTAACTCCATGGGTGGAGGAGGTGAAGGCTGTAGCAGCAGCAGTGCCTTTAACTACAGGGGGGTTGAGGAGGTGGAGACTGTAGCACAAACAGAAGAGGTGGAACCTTTCTTTCATTTTCTAACCCTAACTGCTGAGAAGACCTTCACAGCTTCCCTCAGTTTCCTTTCCTTTTGCTTGTAAAGGTTCTCCTTTTTCTTCAGATGATTTTGGTATGTCTCATAAGATGACAGGCACAATCTCCTCAATGCAGGGGTAATTTGCATTTTGGAGGCAGTTTTGCCCATTACCTTCATGTGGGACTTGATAATGGCTTAGCCTTCATAAGTCTCAATGTTCAGCCTAACCCTGTCTTTCTCAATTATGTCATCCATGATGTTAAACGGGACAGTGAACAATGACAGAAGAGCCTTTACCAACTTCCCTACGATGGGAAATCTCATTCCTCCTTCTGGCATCTTCATGGCAAAGATTTTACTCTACCAGTCAACATCGATTTGTGCAATGTTCTCCTCAAAGCATTTGGCCTGTGCTCCTACACTGAACAAAATTATAAACGCAACACTTTTGTTTTTGCCCCCATTTTTCATGAGCTGAACTCAAAGATCTAAGACTTTTATCTAAGACAGATCCTTGCAACATGGGGCCGTGCATTATCATGCTGCAACATGAGGTGATGGTCGTGGATAAATACAACCTAATACAGAAATGCGCTGCAAATATTAAACGTGCTGCAAAGACTCACATCACAATTAAATACAGAAATGCGCTGCAAATACGCACGGACTACATCAGAAATGTATAAGGGAACCGCAACAAGTGACTAACCTGGCTGGGACACGCTTCGATGTCTATTCTGAAAGGTGCGATTTTTGTTTTAACATCCTGATAATATAAATCCTTAGCTTTGTTCGATATTATTATCCTAAATAAGCTGACGAAATACATAATTACTGTAACTGTGAAATGTTATGTAAGCTGGCTAACTTACTTTTACAACTTCCGAGGCCGGTGGAGTAAATGATAATGAGCGACACCTGCGCCACTCACCGGTCTCGAGTCCCACGGAGGAGCTCCGCAAGGATAAAAGGAGGAGTAATGCCAGGCTTCATCGCGGCCGCCGCTCTGCTCGACCAGCCACACGCTCTCCACAACGCCGAGGCTTAACCTCGCCTCCACCGGCGAGACTTCCAACTTCCCCCGACGTCCTCGTATCATTCGGCCATGCCAATATATCCTCCGATCGGAAAGTGGATAGTATTTAAGGCTGTAGCAAACGCTGATTTATTTCCAACGAACCATTCTCACGGAGGATAAACAAAGCTGATCATGTACGATCTATTCTTCAATTAGCCAAGACGGCCAAAAGATCGAGCAAAGCCTGGAACTCGCCTCACTCGACACCACCATTGTTCCGCACAAGACCCGGCTCTCCTCGAGCTTTGGGTCGCAGCGGCAGGCCTTAAACAAGCCTGGGCCGCGCCCCAGTTCTCACCACAGTAAAACCTCATTCGCTTCCCGCTTCGGCTCAACTTTTCACCGCGGCTCTTCCGGCCGCAGCGCCACATGTAGCCGGGCCTCCAGCTCACGTAGCAGTCACTAGCGCGAGGCTGCCTCTGCTAGCGCCGCTGGCCGTGTTACAATAAAATTTTTAGGTAAAGTCGCTAAAGGTAGGTTGTTTGTTGTTAAACGATGATGACATTATGGATGTTGATGTCATTTTTGTTAGAGCCCGACCGATATGGGTTTTTTGGGCCGATACCGATATTAGGGGGTTAAAAACCGGCCGATACCGATATATCGGCTGATATTCTTTGTGTATATTATAGTACAATACCAGTCAGAGTATTAGAGTAGAGCCGCAGCTCCCTTCGGATGCAGCGAGAGTCCCTCACCTGGCCTTCCATCGTGCTCCTCATTCGGCGACAGGTAGGGCTTGCCATCCGACGCGGAGAGTCGCAGCTCCCGTTCAAGCACCGCACGACCCCTCCCAGTCGCCCTGCCGCCTCCTCGCACACCCTACTTTTCTTCACGGCACGCATATCTTTGGGGGCTACTTACAATTTGTACTTACAGTCTGTGAGTCAGAACAGCCGGCATTGTAGTCTACACTTCCAGGGTCAGGAAACAGTCCTCCATCAAATGTGCTGCACACAAATTAATATCTGGGTTTAACTGTTCTGGAACAGTGCTGTAAATACAACCTAACCACTGATTTCTAGTCATGTCCTCTTTTAGCTAGAGTGAGCGGAGGCCCGGGGGCTAGAGTGAGCGGAGGCCAGGGGGCTAGAGTAAGCGGAGGCCGGGGGGCTAGAGTGAGCAGAGGCGGGTGGGCTTGAGAACGGCGCAGCCGGCGGATTCGACGAAGGAGCGGCCGGCAGGCTTGCGGTAACCACATGTGACGACCACGACTCCGCTTCGTCCATGGTGAAAGCCAATCCAGGCGATCCACAGCGCGTATTTCCTCAGTGACCAGCACGGATCAGCTCCAGGCATGACGAAGCGGATATCATCCTCTTTTGGAAGGCCAAACAAAGTAGTTTCGCTTTCACAATGAAACACAGCATATTCACGACATGGCGGTAGCAACAATACTACAGCGAGAATAAAAGTTACGCCTTCTTTCTTTGCGTGAACATTTGGGCGGCGTTATGCAAATCTTCCCACATAGTGACGTAGACATGTGGGGGCGTGTTAGAACAAGCCGTTTTAGGTAGGTGTGGTTGACTCATAACTTTTACAAAGAATATCTCCTTGGATTTGGGACTTTAGTCTTTGCAACTTTACAGATCGTCTTTATGCACCAAGAGCTTGTAACACTCCAAAGAGAAAGGAAAAATTGAAATCATAACTTTTACAAAGAATATCTCCTTGGATTTGGGACTTTAGTCTTTGCAACTTTACAGATCGTCTTTATGCACCAAGAGCTTGTAACACTTCAAAGAGAAAGGAAAGATTGAAATCGCATCATATGACCCCTTTAATATATTCTGTCTCTTCAGCCACACATCATCACTATATCTGTTACATACATTCAAATAATCACAGAAGTAGTAAGATAAAAGTTTATAGTTTGGATATGGTAGCGATCAAAATAGAGTAAATCACCTTTTGAAAGTGACTTGATGCTTCAATTGATTGTATCCATTATAACGTAACACCTTTTTTGTTCCAAAAAAAGAAAAGTTAAACCTTAGTAAGTCACTGAATATAAGGGCTAAACTAAAGAATATAAAGGCTAAACTAAATCTTTTTCTTTCTGCCGAAAGAGCGAATTCTAGTAAACATATATCACTGTAAAGCTGTACTTTCAACCACACAACCCTGTGAATGTAAGTAGGAAGAAATACCAAAGGTTTTAAAAAATACCATATTGTTAAACAATATGTTGGTAATGGAGTTTGCGAGCATTTACTAGGAACAGTTTTCAGTTGCACCTTGAAAAATGAAACATTTTCTGTTGTTATGATCTCTTTGTTACACCTAGGGTGAAAACTGGCAGGCCTGCAGTGAATCTGTGAGTGACTAGAACTGACTGCATATGTTCATGTCTGTCAAATGGACACAGATAGAGAGGGTCTTATTACTGTTCGTCATCTACCATCTGTTTAAAACACTCAAGAGTGACACAGAGACGCATGTACATGTACAAGTGTTAGTTCCTCAGCTCAAACCAGTCTGCTTATTAATGAGTTACGATTAACTTGCTCTAGGACAACACCTCTGATTGATAACTCATTGGAGACATTGGATTATAGTAAACATCATTAAGCAAAACATCATTAACAGGTATGTATATTTATTATAGTTTAGGTCACATGATTCACTCCTCCTATTGATATTGTGTACATTTACACGTTATAATATTTACATTTATTTGCTACATGCTAAATGTCCATTGTATATCCTCTGAAATTCTGCCTAGAGAGGAATCCTAATTTTGTTGGCCTCAAATAGAGGAATAGAAACTGTATGTGTGTGTGTGTGTGTGCCTGATATTCCCTATATGAGGACCAAATGTCTCCACAAGTATAGTAATGCCAGTAAATTTTCACCTTGTGGGGACACTTTTTTGGTCCCCATGAGGAAATTAGTTGATGTTTTTGACTGGACAAATATTTAATGTTTCATTATGCAATGATACATAAACTTCTGCAATCTGCTGTACTTATTTTAAAATTAATATTGCTGCTCCTGTACAGTCATTGTGAACTTTTCTTAATAAGTTATGAGAAGTAAGGACAATAATAACAACAAAGTTCAATAATTGGTACAAATAATTGGTATAAAGCTAGACTTTACTAACATCGGATACACATTGACAAATCTGCACAGCAGGATTTTCAATGACTCTATATTTGTCTTCAGTCACTTGTTAGGCAGTAAAGTTAAACCACTTTGTAAATATACACTGATATTTTAGATAGTAAAGTGTATCAGGGAAAACAAAGTTACTGATAATTTAAATGTGCAACAAGTAAAAAATAACAAAATATTCCATCAGACACTAAAAACGTGGGGTGACAACATTCATGGTATAAACATACAAAAATAAAAAACAGATGGGGCAAAATGTGTTGAAATTTTAAGAGGGACTTAAAATTATAAAGTTTCATGCAAATCACACTAAAATATAAAATTTAAATCTGCTATGGCAACATAAAAAAGAGGCACACAGTATGGGCCGGTGTCCTGCTGTGTTTAGGTGTAACCCAGGGCTGTCCAATCCTGCTCCTGAAGGGCCACTGTCCTGCAGCGTTTTGCTCCAAGCCCAATTAAACACAGCTAAAGCAGCTAATCAAGGTCTTGCTAGACATAGTAGAAACTTCCAGGCAGGTGTGTTGAGGCAAGCTGGAGCTAAACTCTGCAGGACCGAGTTTGGAGGCCCCTGCTCCCTAACTTAACCAAACCGCCCCAGACAAGCTAATAACAGTGTTCCGAATGACTTGTAAATTACAGGCAGGTGTGTTTAATTAGGGCGGGAGCTGAAGTCTGTTTGACCCCAGCCCTATAGGAGTGAACATGAAGAGCCCTGACCTGAAGAACACATCACCGTTTTTGTTTCATTAACTATTAACTATTTAAAATAAAGTTCCATGTTTGCACTGCAGAGGTGCACAGAAGTAACCCGATCTCATGAAAGTGCGTATAAATAGTACGCCAAATAAAAATGGAAACTTGTGGTATTGATACGCAAAAATGGACTTTGGCGTGTATGTGCTATGCGATGGGTAAGATAAGGGTTGTGGGGTAGATGCGTATCATATGTACGCGAAAACTGCGTATCATATGCACACCAACAAATTTCATATCATATGCACGCGAAAACTGCGTATTATATGCACGCCAAACACGTGCGTAGCATATACATGCCAAAGTCCATTTTTGCGTATCAATACCACGAGTTTTCGTTTTTATTTGGCGTACTATTAATACGCATTTTCATGAGACTGGGCTCACAGAAGCTGCATCTGAAGACACATTTATATGTATTTACAGTGCAATTACAATTGTATAAATAATGATATTCAATTAATGTTTTAAATATAACATTTTGAATATAGAAATGTGAAATGATACTAGAATCATTCATTCAACCAATTAATTCAAATAAGCTGATTCATTAATGAATGGAGCAAGTGATAAAAGCCAAAGCTATTTATTCTACCAGAAAGCTGACTTGTTACTATGAACTTGAATATGTAAGTTTATAAGATAGTATGTAAAACATATGCTGGAGTACTAACAGAAACCAATATATGTGTAAAAAATATGTGATAGACTACTTTTCTGAAGCATATATTGATGACTTATACTTGAATAAACTTTATTTATTTAGTTAATTAGTAAAAGTGTAACCCCTTTAATTCAAGGATCTTAAACACTTCTCCAGGAGCAGGGCTGGAGATCCATTGTCAAATGATTTTAATAGCATCAAATCAGTTTACGTCTCATGGTTGTGTAGGTGCTGAATTCTCCTGACTGACTGCAGGCTGAAGAGGCTGTATTTATGGCTCAGTATGACCAGTGAGTGTCTCCTCAGATTATATTGTCTTACAGGAACATTATGTAAGTGGACAACTATTCAACTGCTGATTGTGTTTCAGACTCGAGGACAAAGATTCGCTGGATATTCATGATAACCCTCCAGCTCCAGACAATGTTGTAAAGGAGGACGACAACACTGTGCGTATGTCAGTCTCTCTCCTTGTGTCGGTGTCATGTACACACAGCTCACTTTCTGTCCTCCTCAGGTTTACTTTGTGTATGATGAAGAGGTGGAGGAAGAAGAGGCCCCTCCTCCTCCGACCCCTGAGCCTGTAGTTCAGGTCAATGACAGACCACACAAATTTAAGGACCACTACTGCAAGAAACCCAAGTTTTGTGACGTCTGTGCACGAATGATTGTTCGTAAGTTCACATTTCAATAAAATCTAAACACTCCCCAACAACAAGAAACAGTTTTATGTGTGGTTGTGTGTCTTCCCTATAGTGAATATTTTTATGTACTGAATATTCTGCTGACACTGTAGTCAGCAAACCCTCAGTATCCACCTTTTTCTTGTCGTAAAAATGGGCGCGGCCATTTGTAAATTCTATGGGTCTGGCTTCCGGTCTCATCTGCGTACACTCCGTCCAGCTATTTTTAGCTGAACAAAACAGTTCGTTTTGCTGCTTGATATTGAAAGTTGGTGTGTCTTATCATATTATTTTAATGTATTAACTTAATTATGAACACACTGGTTTGTAGTGCAAACAATTTTACCGTTTACTGCACGTTGTTATTCTTGTCGTTATTTACCTATAGCGGCTAATGAACCAGAAGTCTCACCCATAGGCTTACTTCTGCATTGAAGAAAATGGTGGATAGGCTTAAAGGAACACTCCACTATTTTTGAAAATAGGCTCATTTTCCAACTCCCCTAGAGTTAAACAGTTGAGTTTTACTGTTTTCGAATCCATTCAGCCGATCTCAGGGTCTGGCGGTAGCACTTTTAGCTGTAGCTTAGCATAGATCATTGAATCTGATTAGACCGTTAGCATCTCGCTCAAAAATGACCAAAGAGTTTCTATATTTTTCCTATTTAAAACTTGACTCTTCTGTAGTTACATCGTGTACTACCATGGGTGCAGCAGGCGCAATGATATTACGCAGAGCCTGAAAATAGGCTAACTTCCATCAACATAAACAACATGACCACCTGCTTGCACAGTGAGCATGCTGGGGACTATTTTCAGGCGCTGCGTAATATCATTGCATCTGCTGCACCCATGGTACGGCAGCAAAGTTCCTTGATTATTACGCCAGAATGAGAGTATAGTTCCTAGCCATATCGGCCTAGAAAATCGCAACTTCTCATTTTCCGTCAGTCTTAGTACACGATGTAACTACAGAAGAATCAAGTTTTAAACAGGAAAAATATAGAAACTCTTTGGTCATTTTTGAGCGAGATGTTAACGGTCTAATCAGATTCAATGAAATTTTTGCAAAGCCTGTGTCGAATTGCAACAGCTTTACCAAAGGATTCACTGAGACATTCTCATAGTTGAAAATAATTATAATGCTCATAAAAATGTAATATAGAGAAATCAATAGTCATACCCATTACAAAAAAGTTAATTGGTATAATAACTGATTTTTTTCTACTTTCAGTCAATAATAAATTTGCCTTGCGCTGCAAAAACTGCAAGACCAACATTCACCACTCGTGCCAATCATATGTGCAGTTCCAGAGATGCTTTGGCAAAATAGTGAGACAACATTCTATATGCATTCTGTTATAATATATGATATGATGACAGTACAGTCACACTGTCAGTTTCATTGTTTTCATTAATATCTTCCTTGTCAGCCTCCTGGATTTAGACGGGCATACAGCTCTCCTCTCTACGATCAAGAGATCAATAACCCTGGTGAGTATGATGTATTTATGAAAGATCATTTTTGACAAAACAAAAAAAGACTGCAGTGTTGAAGCAGAGTTTAAAAAAAGAAGGAAACAAATAATCGGTAGCACTAAGGACCAATTCTCACTATTAACTATAATGCATATTACTAGCATATTGGCTGTTCATTAGTACTTATAAAGCACATATTAATGCTTTATTCTGCATGACCATATTTTAGATCCCCTAATCCGACCCCAGACCTAAACTTAACAACTACCTTACTAAGTGTTAATAAGCAGTAAATTAGAAGTGTACTGAGGCAAAGTCGTAGTTAATAGTGAGAACTAGGCCTTAAACTAAAGTGTGACAAAATAATCCAATCAAGTAAGATTTATGCTTTATGTCATCTTTTCACGTGCAGTTCTGGTTTCTATTCAGATTTCCCTTTGTTACTTCTTGATTGTGTGCATCTGTTTCTTGTTAGTCTTTTTACCCCGTGTGTGTGTATATATAGCCCTTGTGTTTCCTATATTCCTTGTGAGGTCTTGTTCATGGCTGTTGTGTATGGTCAGCCTAGTTCTGATAAAATAACATCTATATTTTACAATGTTTGAAGATTATTGTAGAATAAATTTGAAGAAGAATTGAAACTGCATGTGCATAGGTCAGCAGAACCGCACTGATCCGGTGTTTGAAACGCTGAGAGTGGGTGTGATCATGGCCAATAAAGAGAGGAAGAAAGGCTCTGAGGACAAAAAGAATGTAAGTGATCATGTTCTGCTGTCAGGAATTATCAGACATGTAGCTGAGCTCTTACTGTTATGAAGAATATCATGAACATGTATCTTTTCTTAAGATGATGATGATGATGATGGAGGAGGAGGAAGCTCAACAACCGAAGGAGGATGAAGAGGGTGGTGAAGGTAAGTTAAGGCAGAAGTGGCTCATTGTTCTCTGTGTGGCAAAATCCCAAAGGTGAAATGCAGTCATCTCATTAGGAATCCACAAGATTGGGAATTTCACATGAGGGGTTTTTCCCCATGCAGATTTCTCATCAAGTATTTTTACTTTAGCTTGAAAATTACTCTCCCCTCTTCTCTAGTGTGTTTGTATATTTGTTTGTTTTACTGGTTTACAAATGCAAGCAGCCAGCAAGGTGTGAAAGCAGAAAACAATCACATAAAATGGACTTTAATTCCTCAGTCAGGGTCTCATCCATCCATTGCATGGGAGGTGCAATGCATGTCATTTTCCAATGCATGGGAGGGGATCCCAAGCAGATTTGTAAGCATCACTGTGGCGTTAAAGTCAGTGTAACAAAGTTCGTAGTCACAGGAAGAAGGAGATGCAAACCGGCGAACGCTCATAGAAAACTTTAATAAAATAAACAAACACAAAATAGCACAAACAGAACCAAAACACAACATAAAGTCCAGGCCTGGTCCTCTCTCCTCTTTCACTGTCGTAACTCCTCCTTTTATCCTTCCGGCAAGAGAAAAGGAGACGGAAGGATGAGGAGAGACAGAGACGAAAAAGGGGAGAGAGGAGAAAAAAAAAAATCTTGTTCCGGTTCCCAGACACACTGCCGCTCGGCCCTCCACCAGCTGGGTAAACTCTTCCGCGATGCCAGGCGGCGGCACTGGACAGCCCTCGGTGGACGGCCTGACACTCCTCCGCTGCCCGGTGGACGGCGACGGCTCCTCCAGGTTTGGGCAGCCGGCAGGAGCCCCCCGTTCCCTGCTCCTCCCCATCATGGCGGATGGCAGCAGGCTCTGGCCTCAGGCAAACGGCGGCGACTCTTCCGCTCCCTCATGGACGGCAGCCGTCCCTCCACATCCCAGGCGGCCGGCAGCGAGTTCGTCCGCCCCCCC